TCTCCCCCCTCTCTCCTCCCCCTCCTCCCCCCTCATGTCTCCCCCTCCCTCCCCTCCTCTTTATTCGATTACAGCTTGTAGACCGCCGGACGTTGGCGTGTGTTCGTTTCGACCGCGCGCTCCGCTTTTAATGCAGCACAAAATTCATTACTGATCACATTATGGGAGGAGCAGGGGGAGGAGGGGGGGAGGAGGGTGAGGCAGAGGCTGGAGGGGGAGACTGAAGGGTGAGGGAGGCAGGTGAGACAGAGGTGAAAGATGGGGAACGTGTCAGAACTCAAATAGACTGTGTAAAATTTAAAAATCAGTTTCAAAGTGTGTTTGTGTGTTTTTATGCGTCAATGACCAGTAGCGGACATTGTGATGTCTGTGTGTGTCTGTGTCTCTCTATGTGTGTGTGTGTATATGTGTGTGCGTGTGTTTCTACCTCTGTGTGTCTGTGTGTGTGTATTTTTGTGTGCCTCTCTGTGTGTCTCTGTATGTTTCTACCTCTGTGTGTGTCTGACCTGTAGCGGACACTGTTGTGTCTCTGTGTGTGTCTCTGTGTGTGTCTGTGTGTGTCTTTGTGTGTTTCTGTATGTGTCTCAGGGTATGTCTGTGTGTGTGCCTCTCTCTGTGTCTCTGTGTGTGTATGTCTGTGTCTGTGTGTCTCTCGCTCCTGTGGCAGAGCCTGTGATATCTGTGTGTGTCTGTGTGTGTGCACTTGTTTTCAACTCCTGGTGGGTTCCATAACCTGAGATTCCACTCACGTCATGGGGACTGGTTTTACGTGGTGGGGCCCGAACACCGGACCCACTGGTCCAAGCTTAATAATCAATGGGTAATGCTTTTCTAACGGTCCTTATGCAGTCTCTGTAAAAATATGGAAAGGACCCCTGGAGGTTTACTTTCCTGAAAAAAGTGTGTTATGTGTCGGAACCCTGGTGGTGGGTTGCGGGATATCAAGGAGGGGCACACTGGGGCAATTTCAGTCCAGCAGGCTGGAGCCAATCATGGAGCAGCACAACAGAGGAAATCAGGTGTCAGGCTAGAAAAAGGTGCAAGTGTGTGGTTCATTAGGCTGCAAGAAATCATGGAGGAGCACACTGAAGCGCACGCTTACAAACCACTGGTAAGTGCTGACTACAAGTCATGACTTCAAATTGTTATATAGAATGATTACAAATTATTTGTTGTTTGTGCAGCTTAGTCAAGAGTCCCTAATTGATGAAGTCGACTCAGATTCTGACGATTTAACTGTCAAGAAGAAACCTGTAAAAAAGTATAGAAAAAGAAAAATCAAAAACACTTTTCTTCAAGACTCGGAAAGTGACGAACCAAAGGCAAATAAGATTGTTATCATGCAGCTGCAAAAGAAGAAAAATGGGGGGCGAGTTTACAGCAAGAGACACTTCTGCCTCTACTGTTCAATGTCCTGCCACAAAATGTCCCGTCATTTGACTAGAAAACATGAAAATGAAAGTGACGTAGCCAGAGCATTGGCTCTACCTGTGAAATCTAAAGCACGTAAACTTCAGTTTGATTTGATCAGGAATAGTGGAAACCGTGAGCACAATTTTGAGGTTTTAAAGGCCGGCATTTGAACTTTAGTCCCAGCTAAACAGCCAAATTCCCCAGTTAAATCCAGTGAGTTTTTGCACTGTATAGACTGTGGGGCATTGCTTAAGCGAAAGTGGCTGTGGAGGCATGTGGCCAGGTGCCGGCTTTCACAGAAAGATGCCCAGGCTAAACCAGGTAGAAGTAGGGTCCAGTCCCTCTGCTCCCTAGCCCAGCCTGTACCGGAGGGCATCAGCAAAAAGCTGTGGTCTTTAATTTGGGCAATGCATCAGGATGAGGTCACGGGTGTTGTCAAAGCAGAAAAGGGGATTCTGAGACTCGGAGAGCACCTGTACTTAAAACACGGGCATGATAAGACTAAGCATGATTACATTAGGCAGAAAATGAGAGAAGTCGGTAGGTTAACTCATTCACTGCCCATGACGACAAAAGTCGTTCTATTGTATAGTGACGCTCACTGCCCAAGACGACTTAGACGACTTTTTCGTGTTATTACACGGGAGGCTGCAGTAATGTCTGGCGCACCTTGTTAATGACCCACAACACTGATATATAGTGCAAATGTACCTGTAATGATAAATCACCACCAGTAGGATGCAGTATTGCACCACAGGAGAGGTCATAAGTCAGTGGAGAGGAGGAGGAGTGTGGGGTCTTTGGAGAGCGTGCTGCTGTAGCAGAGCGATGATAGCGTAGCATTGAGACGGATCAGATCTAGTTTAGCGATAGTATAGCAAGAGTGATGGCGAAAAAGAATAGTTATAAGCAGTATACACTGCTTCAGAGATTGACTCGCGGATCAGTGAGTGAGGTCGAGAGGGGAGAGAGTGGAGACCCCGGTGGAGGTCCGTCTCTGCAGCCACATTTGCGCGGAGCAAGAGCCCCGAGCAGAGACACACCCTCCGCCTCTCGCAGCGTATCAGCTGCTGCTGTTACTGATGCCTCGGATTCGTTCAGCAAACCTGATCATGATTTATCGGACACACTCACAAACACTCACACGCACTCACTCACTCACTCACGCACACAGACACTCACTCGCACACTGACATTCACACACACAGACACTCACTCACACAGACACTCACTCGCACACTGACATTCACACACACACACACTCAAATTCACATGCTTCATTCTATTTTATACATCTATAGTTTTATTGATCTTTGTGTTGTTGTTGTTTGACGTTTTGGTTGATGGTATAGAAGAAAGTTAAATTTTCTATCTGTGAATAAATTGCCAACAATTTGCCATCAAAAGTATTATTTCAGAGTCATGTTTTTATAATTTTTGTAATGGAACAAGTGTGAAGATGTTTTGAGTTGTCACTAAAGCAGCAAAAATGCATCTAAAGTCTCTTTTCTGCTTGATATGTTCCTGTTTACATACAGCTCGTTTTCTCTGTTTTCTTGCTCAGACCAGGTGTTATGGGTGAAAGTATGCTTTGTTCTATGGCAAATAACGCAAGAATGGTAAGAGGTAGAAACAAACTGTTTTTTTCAGAGTAAAGCAGAGAGGTTAATCTTTAATTTGGTGCCCTTGGTGTTTACATCGTCTAAAAAATGAATATTCTGTGGCACTTCAAAGTTGGGTCAAATCACCTGAAATTGCTGGCAGAATGCACTTCTCAAATCTGAAAATGCCTGGCAGTCAGTGAGTTAATTAACGAAGCAAAAACCGCAGGGAAACTGAAAACAATTAAGGATTTCTTTATTCCTTCCAACTTTAACCATGTGATTGATGCAGTCAGGTCTGTGGCTGGATATGATGAGGAAACAAATCAATACAAGACTCCATCCTTGGCCCTCAAACTTGGCCATAGCCTCAGAAAGCTAGCAGATATTCTTGAATGTGACTCAAAAATGGAGCATTGTGTTGATGAACTATTTATTAAAAACCTCCAACGAAGCCGGCTGCTTTTTGAGAAGAGGTGGGACGTCTGTGTTTCTTCTGCTGCCCTACAGACCCTCCGGCAAGCCAAGTGGAACACTCCGGACCTGCTCCCTCTGACTGAGGACGTTAGAGCCATGCATGCACATATTGAGGTATGTCGACCTGAATATGTGCAAACCCTAATAAGTGAGCCAACGTCTAAGCATTGGTCTAAACTGGCAGTTTTGACTCTTTGTGAGGTCATTATTTTCAATCGAAGAAGGGAAGGTGAGGTTTCAAAGATGCCACTGACAGCCTTTACCTTAAGAAGTAAGACTGGGATCCATTCTGACATTGCTCTGGGACTGTCCGAACTTGAGAAAAAGCTGTGTCAGCATTTTCAACGCATAGAAATTAAAGGGAAAAGAAGTCGGAAAGTGCCGGTTCTTTTGACTCCTGAAATGATTGCTTCGATGGAGGTGCTGGTGGAGAACAGAAGGGCCTGTTCCATCTCTGACCATAACCCATACTTCTTCTCCCGCCCGGGCGCAGACACCCACATCAGGGGATCAGACTCCCTACGCCAGGTAGCCAAAGAATGTGGTGCGGTGCATCCAGAGATGCTATCCTCAACCAAACTTAGAAAGCACATAGCTACTATGTCTACAGTTCTCAATATGAAAGAGAATGAGATGGACATACTTGCCAACTTCCTCGGCCATGACATTCGCATCCACAGGCAATATTACAGACTACCAGAGGGGACACTGGAGCTGGCCAAAATCAGCAAAGTGTTGATGGCCATGGAGCAGGGAAGAGTGACGGAATTCAAAGGAAAGAGCCTCGACCAGATACAAATTGAGCCTGAAGGTAATTCTTGATATTATTAAAATATGTATGATTTTTTTCCCCTAAAGGCCACTTGTATTTTTATTTTCTGTGCGACAGGGAGAGCAGTAGAGATCCTCTCACAAACGGACGGGCTAAAAGAAACTTCAAGCGGAGAACCTTCAACCATTCATCCAGATGCACCCCATGGTAGTGGCAGTGCCCCTTCTGGTAAGTGTACCAGGTGGGGGATTACAGCCAGGCTGCTTGGTCCTCACCCTGGGAGTGTATATTGCTAATATATTTTTATTTCTCTCCCTAGAACGTGTAAGAAAGCCATGGTCTGCATCTGAGGTGAAGGCTGTGGAGAAGACCATGACACCTTTCATACAGACTGGAAAGGTCCCTGGGAAGTCTCACTGCCTGGCCTGGCCTGGCCTGGCCTGCATTAATGCCTCACCAGATGACCTTAGACATCGGACATGGAGTGGCATTAAATTCTATGTCAAAAATAGAATCACTGCAATTTTCTATTGACTGTTTTGTATTACTTAAAGTAGTCCCAGTAAAAAAGATTATGTCTATGGGTCCCATTCTGAACGGCCTCTGTATGTCTGTGTGTCTGTGTGTCTGTGCGTGTGTCTCTGTGTGTTTCTCATGTTTCTCATGTGATGTATGTGTATGTGTGTGTTTGTTTGTGTGTGTCTCTGTGTATGTCTCTGTGTGTGTGTCTCTCTCACCTGTAGCAGAGCCTGTGATGTCTCTGGACGGAGACTCGGACATGGCGTCGGCGAGTCTCTCTCTCAATCCTTCGTCGCTGCTGTCGGCTGAACACAGATTGTGTCGTGGGATTCCAAAACTCTCAGGCCAACTGCCACACACCTCCAGGAGGGTCACCGCCCGGGCCTCGTACCCACCTTAGGAGAGGGGAGAGAGGTTAGACTGAGGAGAGAGGGGGGGAGGGGTTAGACTGAGGAGAGAGGGGGGGAGAGGGGGGGAGAGGGGGAGAGAGGTAAGAGAGAAGAGATGGGAGAAAGAGGGAAAGAGTACCGCCCGGGCCTCATACCCACCTGTGGAGAGAGGGGGAAGAGGAGAGAAAAGAGAGATGGGGGAAGAGAGGAGAGAGACTGAGGAGAAAGAGGAGAGAGAGGAGAAAAAGGAGATGAGAGAGAGGGGGACCGGACAGAACGGTTGTGAGGGGAGAGACCAAGGAGAGATAGGGGAGAGACCAAGGAGAGAGAGAGGGGAGAGACCAAGGAGAGATAGGGGAGAGACCAAGGAGAGAGAGAGGGGAGAGACCAAGGAGAGAGAGAGGGGAGAGACCAAGGAGAGATAGGGGAGAGACCAAGGAGAGAGAGAGGGGAGAGACCAAGGAGAGAGAGAGGGGAGAGACCAAGGAGAGATAGGGGAGAGACCAAGGAGAGAGAGAGGGGAGAGACCAAGGAGAGAGACCAAGGAGAGAGAGAGGGGAGAGACCAAGGAGAGAGAGAGGGGAGAGACCAAGGAGAGAGAGAGGGGAGAGACCAAGGAGAGAGAGAGGGGAGAGACCAAGGAGAGAGAGAGGGGAGAGACCAAGGAGAGAGAGGGAAGAGACCAAGGAGAGAGAGGGAAGAGACCAAGGAGAGAGAGAGGGGAGAGACCAAGGAGAGAGAGAGGGGAGAGACCAAGGAGAGAGAGAGGGGAGAGACCAAGGAGAGAGAGAGGGGAGAGACCAAGGAGAGAGAGAGGGGAGAGACCAAGGAGAGAGAGAGGGGAGAGACCAAGGAGAGAGAGAGGGGAGAGACCAAGGAGAGAGCGAGGGGAGAGACCAAGGAGAGAGAGGGAAGAGACCAAGGAGAGAGAGGGAAGAGACCAAGGAGAGAGAGAGGGGAGAGACCAAGGAGAGAGAGAGGGGAGAGACCAAGGAGAGAGAGAGGGGAGAGACCAAGGAGAGAGAGAGGGGAGAGACCAAGGAGAGAGAGAGGGGAGAGACCAAGGAGAGAGAGAGGGGAGAGACCAAGGAGAGAGAGAGGGGAGAGACCAAGGAGAGAGAGGGAAGAGACCAAGGAGAGAGAGGGAAGAGACCAAGGAGAGAGAGAGGGGAGAGACCAAGGAGAGAGAGAGGGGAGAGACCAAGGAGAGAGAGAGGGGAGAGACCAAGGAGAGAGAGAGGGGAGAGACCAAGGAGAGAGAGAGGGGAGAGACCAAGGAGAGAGAGAGGGGAGAGACAAGGAGAGAGAGAGGGGAGAGACCAAGGAGAGAGAGAGGGGAGAGACCAAGGAGAGAGAGAGGGGAGAGACCAAGGAGAGAGAGGGGAGAGACCAAGGAGAGAGAGGGAAGAGACCAAGGAGAGAGAGAGGGGAGAGACCAAGGAGAGAGAGAGGGGAGAGACCAAGGAGAGAGAGAGGGGAGAGACCAAGGAGAGAGAGAGGGGAGAGACCAAGGAGAGAGAGGGGAGAGACCAAGGAGAGAGAGGGAAGAGACCAAGGAGAGAGAGGGAAGAGACCAAGGAGAGAGAGAGGGGAGAGACCAAGGAGAGAGAGAGGGGAGAGACCAAGGAGAGAGAGGGAAGAGACCAAGGAGAGAGAGGGAAGAGACCAAGGAGAGAGAGAGGGGAGAGACCAAGGAGAGAGAGAGGGGAGAGACCAAGGAGAGAGAGAGGGGAGAGACCAAGGAGAGAGAGAGAGGGAGAGACCAAGGAGAGAGAGAGGGAGAGACCAAGGAGAGAGAGAGGGGAGAGACCAAGGAGAGAGAGAGGGGAGAGACCAAGGAGAGAGAGGGAAGAGACCAAGGAGAGAGAGAGGGGAGAGACCAAGGAGAGAGAGAGGGGAGAGACCAAGGAGAGAGAGGGGAGAGACCAAGGAGAGAGAGAGGGGAGAGACCAAGGAGAGAGAGAGGGGAGAGACCAAGGAGAGAGAGAGGGGAGAGACCAAGGAGAGAGAGGGGAGAGACCAAGGAGATAGGAGAGAGCCAGGGAGAGACCAAGGAGAGAGAGAGGGGAGAGACCAAGGAGAGAGAGAGGGGAGAGACCAAGGAGAGAGAGAGGGGAGAGACCAAGGAGAGAGAGGGGAGAGACCAAGGAGATAGGGGAGAGAGAGGAGACAGGAGAGGGTAGAGGCTGTACTACAACATCATAAAAGCTAAAAAAGTAATACAAAAACAGTTTCAAAACAAGGGCAAGGAAACAGGAGAAAAAATAAGGTTACACTTTTTTCTGCAGGTGATTGAAGGCTGTACGAAAGATCTGAGAAGTCTCCCCCACATTGAAACACAATAATTTTGATTTTTAAACCCATAAATGACAAAGTAAAACTTTTTCAACACGTTTAAGAGTTAGCTAACACGATAAAACAAGAACACAGGCCCGAAACATCACCTTCAATTGCTCCAAAATGAGAAAAACCTGTCCCAGGCCGAGCAAGTGACCCCTCTAAAACTTTAAAGCTAGCGCAAACACGTCGCTAGTTAGCCATTTCTCCATTAGCGCTAATAGACTGCTCACTTATCCAGTGCCAGATGCTTTTAACTGCTAATTTACGACGTGTTTGCCCCTCACACACAAACCATTACAACCTGCGCACAGAGTGACCGGAGCGCCACTAAAACTCAATTGGATTAGCGCTAGCGTTAGCCTTTTACAGCTAGCGTAGCCCGGTAACGAGAGAGTGAGGAGACTCAGTTTGGAGCGGTGTGTTGTTAAAGGGAAGGTGTGAAAATGAAGTGGGAAGAACACGTGTGGAGGATTAAAGCTGTGATTACAGAAGAAAGTGCTGGAAGGTTTCAATTAGGTTTAATGTTGTTCCAAGTGTCTGAAGGGAAAGGAGGGCTGGACTCTCTGGTCTCTGGTCTAATTGGTTTCTCTCTGGTCTCTCTCTTGTCTCTCTCTCAGTCTCTGGTCTCTCTCTCTGTTCTCCTGGTCTCAGTTCATCTCTCACTACTCTCACCTTGAACTTCAGACCTCTTGGGCCCGGAGTACTGGTAAACACACAGTAAGCTACATGCTAACAGTGTTGTGCGTGAACGAGTTCAAAAGAACGCGTTCATTGAACACGCTCATTTTTTTGTGAACGTTGAACTGAACGCAACACATTTTTTAATAAAGAACTTGAACGTGAATTAGTTCATATTATGTGTCATGAACGGCAGACATGTCTATGAACGTTTGAATTTGTTTTCTCTTTTGAAACACAACGAGAGAAAGTTCCTCCCTTCTGTATTCTCTGCACTTTTTCCGCCGAAAACTAAAAATTCCTACGGTGTTTACCGTCTGTGAACGCACCCCGACTCCGTGTTGAGCCAGCCGGTGCGGCGCTGTGAGCTAGTGCTTTTCTTTGGTTGTTGGACTCACATGTGCCCGAATTGTGATGATAACAAGTTAGCGACACAGGACCACCTGTTTACATTTGACATAAAGTATAGACACACGCACTGCAGCGCATTACTGTTTGTAGTACTTATGTAGTACTCAGTTTTTTCCTCCCAATTAGATCTTGTCTGTTTTAGAGTCAAGAGGCTCTAATCCTGTGCGATGTATATATATATATACATACGCTTTTATATCCATCCATCCATCCATCCATTTTCTTCCCCTTAATCCATTTCTGGGTCGGGGGGGTGGCCAGAGATGCCACCCAGTTCACAGAGCACCAGCCCCTCACTGATCCTCCTGCAGGTGGTGAGTCCACAGGAGCTGAGATCTTTCAGTGGGAGCTTCAGGCAAAGTGGGGTTAAGTGTCTTGCCTAAGGACACAACGGCAGCAGTCATCAGTGGGAGTTGTGAAGTAGGTCTTACGGTGGGCTCGAACCCACAACCTTCAGGCTCAAAGGCCAGTGCTCTACCAACTGAGCTACTGTCGCTTTTATATATTATATATATATATATATATATATATATATATATAATGTGATTTCTTGCTCGTAGTGTGAAAATAATATTTATTTGAATATCTCACAAAAAAAGTAAAATTAACTGAACTTTGAACTAGTTCAGAATTAAAAATGTGAACTTTGAACGTGAACTGTTCACTTTGAGCATGTATGAACTGAACTTGAACTAGTTCAGAAAAGCTGTGAACTGGCACAACACTGCATGCTAACCATGCTAACACAAACCTTGGTGTTAGCCGCACACTGACACTTAGCTAGCTTCCTCTCAGCTGAACTATCACAGCTGTAGCCACTCGCTGATAATCCGGCGCTAATGCTAATTTTACTGTGGGGTCAGGTGTCGTAAAACTTTATTCGTCCCAGAGGAAAACAGGCCGTAAAAAAGCAGCGTTAACGACAGCCGCAAGCTAGCTGCCGCCGTCACATGTGTGAGAGAGTAGTAAAGAGATCGAAACTTCAGATTTGAAACAAACTCTATGTGCTGAAGGCCAAGAGCAGGGGATCCCAAGCACAGCCAACTGACAATGCTAACCTGCTAGCTCAATGCAGACTAACAAGGAAGTGCTCAAAGGGAAGTTTGGCTAATCTCTCAGGCTTCTATTGACTTCCATGTAAAAGTAAACTCCTGGAGCTCAGTTTTGGGAATATAAAAATCTGTGGTCTCTCTCTGGGCTCTTCGATATCTCCCTCCAGTCTCTCAATGGTCTCTTTCTAGTCTCATTCAGGTCCCTCTCAGGTCTCCCTCTGGTCTCTGTCTAGTCTCTCTCGTCGTTCTCTGGTCTCTCTCTGGTCTCTCTCTCTGGTCTCTCTCTGGTCTCTCTCTGGTCTCTCTCTGGTCTCTCTCTGGTCTCTCTCTGGTCTCTCTCTGGTCTCTCTCTGGTCTCTCTCTGGTTTCTCTCTGGTCTCTCTCTGGTCTACCTCTGGTCTCTCTCTGGTCTCTCTCTGGTCTACCTCTGATCTCTCTGGTCTCTCTCTGGTCTCTCTCTGATCTCTCTCTGGTCTACCTCTGATCTCTCTGGTCTCTCTGGTCTCTCTCTGGTCTCTCTCTGGTCTCCCCTCAGTCCTCTCTGGTGCTGACGCTGAGCAGACTCCCACACAGTAGTCTGTCCCAGGGCAGATAGCGCGCTTCAAAGAGAGTGTAGATAACAGAGACGTGAGATTATCAGAAACAATAAGACACTGAGACAGACGCTGCACAAACACTGATGCACTTTCAAATACACACACAAAATACTCTCTCCAACCCCCAACCCTTCTGTGGCGATGCTTTGATTTCAAACTATGATAAATATTCAGAAAATTATGTCACACAGAGCTGTCTTAAATCAGTTTTAAACTCAGAACATTTATAACTTCTCTATGATCTCAGTATCTCCAGGAGACCAGAGAGAGAGCAGAGAGAGACAAGAGAGAGAGACCAGAGAGAGAGCAGAGAGAGAGACCAGAGAGAGAGACCAGAGAGAGAGACCAGAGAGAGAGCAGAGAGAGACCAGAGAGAGACCAGAAAGAGACCAGAGAGAGACCAGAGAGAGACCAGAGAGAGACCAGAGAGAGAGCAGAGAGAGAGCAGAGAGAGAGACAAGAGAGAGAGACCAGAGAGAGAGCAGAGAGAGACCAGAGAGAGACCAGAAAGAGACCAGAGAGAGACCAGAGAGAGACCAGAGAGAGACCAGAGAGAGAGCAGAGAGAGACCAGAGAGAGAGCAGAGAGAGAGCAGAGAGAGAGACAAGAGAGAGAGACCAGAGTGAGAGCAGAGAGAGAGCGGAGAGACCAGAGAGAGAGCAGAGAGAGAGCAGAGAGAGACCAGAGAGAGAGACCAGAGGGAGACCAGAGAGAGAGACCAGAGAGAGACCAGAGAGAGACCAGAGAGAGAGACATTAGAGAGACACTAAAGAGACATCACTGAAGAGAGAGACCATAGAGTCCGGAGTGACCAGAAAAATACTAGAGAGAGAGACAGCTGGAGAACTGGAGAGACCAGAGAGAGAGCGAGACCAGAAAGAGAGACTAGAGAAAGATGAGAGAGAGACTAACTCACAAACACTAACACCCTGGTTTATAAATAGCTCCATGTGTATCACCCATAGAAGAGCGCCAGGTCAATAAATAAAACATTGAAATGTACAAAGCTATATTTTAGTGACTATTTGTGGATACTGTCTCTTTCTGGTCAGAGAGAGACCAGAAAGAGAGACCAGAGAGAGAGAACAGAGAGAGAGAGAGACCAGAGAGAGAGACCAGAGAGAGAGACCAGAGAGAGAGAGAGAGACCAGAAAGAGAGACCAGAGAGAGAGACCAGAGAGAGAGAGACCAGAAAGAGAGACCAAAGAGAGAGACAAGAGAGAGAGAGAGACCAGAGTGAGAGAACAGAGGGAGAGACCAGAGAGAGAGCACACAGTGAAAGAGCAGAGAGAAACCAGCGAGAAACTAGAGAGACCAGAAAGATACCAGAGAGACCAGAGACAAGAGAGAGACCAGAGAGAGAGAGATTGGGGAGAAACCATAGAGAGACCAAAGGGAGACCAGAAGGAGAGAGAGAAACCAGAGAGAGACCAGAGACAGACCAGAAGGAGAGAGAGAGAGAGAAATTAGGGAGAGACCATAGAGAGACCATAGAGAGACCAGAGAGAGAGAGAAGAGTTATATGTATACAGTAGTACATTGCTGGTCCCTGTGAGCCTCCATCAGATCAGTACGGTGGCTGAGAAGGCTCAGTTGTCGTGTGTTAATGGACTTTTCACAGTGCGTTTGACGGACACACCGACACATACACGTTTTAACCAGGCCGACCTCCGCGTGGGCGTCCCAACAGGAACCAGAGCGAGACCAGAGCGAGACCAGGGAGAGACCAGAGAGAGCGCTAAAGTGTGCTCCTCTCTCCCCCGCGGGACCTGGAGCTGCTGCTAATGTGTGAGAGAGGGGGGAGGAGGGGGGAGGAGGGGGGAGAAGACATCACACGCTTCTATCTGATTCAGGATACGTCAGAATGTGGAAACTGACGACTTGTTTACTGGTTCAGAGTGGGAAGAAGGATGTTTTAAAGCTGAGGGACGTAAGTTAAAAGAGAATGTATAAATAAACTCGTTCCTGGTCTTTGACATATCTTTGGATTTGAGTTTTCAAAACTAAAAAGTGAAAAAGAGAGGAACAGAGAAAGACCAGAGAGAGACACGAGAGAGAGATCAGATAGACCAGAGAGAGAGAGACTAGAGAGAGACACTAGGAAGATACATTAGAGAGACCAGAGAGAGAGACTAGAGAGAGAGAGAGAGACTAGAGAGAGACACTAGGAAGATACATTAGAGAGACCAGAGAGAGAGACTAGAGAGAGAGAGAGACTAGAGAGAGACACTAGGAAGATACATTAGAGAGACCAGAGAGAGAGACTAGAGAGAGAGAGACTAGAGAGAGACACTAGGAAGATACATTAGAGAGACCAGAGAGAGAGACTAGAGAGAGAGAGAGACTAGAGAGAGACACTAGGAAGATACATTAGAGAGACCAGAGAGAGAGACTAGAGAGAGATAAGAGAGACCAGAGAGAGAGACTAGAGAGAGAGAGAGACTAGAGAGAGACACTAGGAAGATACATTAGAGAGACCAGAGAGAGAGACTAGAGAGAGACACTAGGAAGATACATTAGAGAGACCAGAGAGAGAGACTAGAGAGAGAGAGAGAGATTAGAGAGAGACACTAGGAAGATATATTAGAGAGACCAGAGAGAGAGACTAGAGAGAGAGATAAGAGAGAGACTTGAGAGAGAGAGAGAGACTTGAGAGAGAGATCTATTTTAGACCAGGGAGCGACCAGAGGTGTTGATTATTTGAGTTTCTTATAGTGCATGCGTTGGGAGTTCAAATGTACCAAATACATCACTCTCTACTCTACTCTACTCTACTCTACTCTACTCTACTCTACTCTACTCTACTCTACTCTACTCTACTCTACTCTACTCTACTCTACTCTACTCTACTCTACTCTACGTACTAAATGAGTCGTCTTCTTTAAGTTCCATCCATATACTCATGTGTCTGTGTAGTGCAGCACTCAAGACTCATTTGCTCGTTAGCATGGAGCTGTCATAGTCGTTAGCTTCGGGGCTAATTTCCCCCTGACACTATGCCGACCTGCCCTGGGGCGGTTAGCTAGCACACTCACCGCTAACACTGGCACATGTGGGGCAGAGGTAACCAGTATAGAGCTAATTGCTGCAAATAGAAAGCTTTGAAAGGGCAGCGTTCATAAAGAATGTGTCAGAACGACCGCAGAGACGCCTCACGCTAATGCACTTCACTCAGACTCAGGTCGGACACGAGACTCGGACAAAGAGGAGGCATCACTTGGACAAAGAGTAGAGTGAATGTGTGAGAAACCGGAGCGAGGAGGAGGCATGGGGCTAAGTGTACATTTACAAATACAATAAACCTGGGTCTACAGCCTCAGTCCTGGGTCTACAGCCTCAGTCCTGGGTCTACAGCCTCAGTGCTGGGTCTACAGCCTCAGTGCTGGATCTACAGCCTCAGTGCTGGATCTACAGCCTCAGTCCTGGGTCTACAGCCTCAGTGCTGGGTCTACAGCCTCAGTGCTGGATCTACAGCCTCAGTCCTGGATCAAGATGGACTAAGAGTAAAGTAGGGTTGGTGGAAACAAGGATTTTGTTTATGGTGTAATTTGGGCCTTTGAAATTATAAAGTGAAAATGGATCTGGTCTCTATTCTCCTCTACCCTACCCTCTACAGTCTCTCTGGTCTCTCTCTGGTCTCCCTGGTCTCTCTCTCTGGTCTCTCTCTGGTCTCTCTCTGGTCTCTCTCTGGTCTCTCTCTGGTCTCTCTCCACTCTCTCCTCTTCATAAACAGAGTCTGAGTCTCTGTGGATCCAAAAGGAAAGATTCCCGTCTGTGAAACCGCTGCGTTCCTGGAAATAACACTGTTCCATTTGAGCGCAACACCTCGAGCCGCTAATGTGTCCCGCACCGCTGTTTAGGACGCACAGAGGAGGGTGGAGGAGGGGGAGGAAGGGGAGGAAGGGAGAGAGCAGAGCAAAGAGTGTGCATGGTTTATCATGTGGTCTATTAGAACTCAGTGGAACTCAGCTGGTGTTAAAGCAGAGGCGTAAATGTGTTTTGGACTAGAGAGAGGAGAGAAACCAGAGGGAGAGAGAGAGAGACCAGAGAGAGACCAGAGAGAGACCAGAGAGAAAGACCAGAAGGAGAGAAAGATAGAGACCTGAGAGAGACCAGAGGGGAAGAGTGAGATACCAGAGGGAGACCAGAGAAAAAGACCAGAGAGAGACCAGAGGGAGAGAGAGACCAGAAGGAGAGAAAGATAGAGAAGAGAGAGACAAGATGGAGACCAGAAAGAGAGACACCAGAGGGAGAGAAATATAAAGAAGAGAGAGAACAGAGAGACCCGAGAGAGAGACCAGGGAGACACCAGAGAGACAGTAGAGAAAGAGAGAGACCAGAGACATCAGAGAGAGAGAGACCAGAGACAAGACACAACCAAATGGAAATACCGTAATAATAATGTGCGATATGTATGTGTCTCTGCTAATCCTTTTATGGTACCCCTCCTATCTACTCTTTCATACACAGAGAGCGAGAGAGACCAGAGAGAGAGAGACCAGAGAGAGACATCACAGAGAGGTCCTCAGCTAGTCCTCTGAGGGTCCCTCTGATGGTCCCTCTCCTAACTGCTCTTTCATATTCAGACTTAATCCAATCCTCCCACTTTGCTTTTGCACAACAGTCCGAATGCACCTGGGAAAATCCACTCATTCGATTTGGCAACAAAGAGAGCGGACAGGAGCAGGAGGGTTAAAATATTGGTTCAGTATAAAAACGAGATCATAACGAGACAGAGCGAGTGGACGTCTGACAAGAGGAGTCAATGAAAGGAAGTGGAGTTGTCGTTTTACATTATGTGTTTGAGGATCACGGAGAGGACGAGATGAAAGAAAAACTAAATTCAATTTGTGTTTGGTGGAATTAAACGGTGGATTAGACTGAGACCGTTCAGCGAGACTCGGAAGAAGCGAGATCAGAGGATTTCTGGTCGGAAAATGTTTGTGGATGGATTGGGAATCTGATTCTTATAATAGTGTATGTTAATGTATTGTATGAAACTTAAACTGAGAAGATAGATTAGAGAGAGAGAGACCAGAGGGAGAGAGAGACAAGAGAGAGACCAAAGGGAGAGAGAGACAAGAGAGAGAGAGAGACCAGAGGGAGAGAGACAAGAGAGAGACCAAAGGGAGAGAGAGACAAGAGAGAGAGAACAGAGGGAGAGAAAAACAAGAGAGAGAAAGGAGCGAGAGAGAGACCAGAAGGAGAGAGAGAGAGAGACGAGAGAGAGGAAAGAGAGAGAGACAAGAGGGAGAGACAAAGATCAGAGAGAGAGAGACCAGAAGGAGAGAGAGAACAAAGAAAGACACTAGAGAGAGACAGAGAGAAAGATGAGAAAGAGAGACTAGAAAGAGAGAGACAGAGAGAGAGACCAGAGGGAGAACAGAGAGAGAACAAATAGAGAAACTAGAGAGAGACAAAGAGAACAGAACGATAGAACAGAGATTAAACAAAGAGAGAGACGAGAAAGAGAGACAGATAGAAAGAGAGAGAACAGAAAGAGAGAGAGAGAGAGAGAAGAATCAGAGTTAGACCAGAGAGAGAATCCTTATTAAAACGTCCAAAATGGCCGCCGTGTTTTAAAGCCAAAGTCCATAAATCCAGAGTGTTTTTACTGGGACCACACAAAACACGGCAATAAAACGGAGACTTTTAGCCACGACACACGCTGGAGCGGAAGAAAGACCGGCGCACAAACTAAACAAACGGAGGAACATAAGAGGGGACTAAGTGGGGCTTCCTGTGTCACGTTTGGAGCCAGGTACTCATGGTATTTAAAGCTGGGGTCCGTAACTTTACAACAGTTAGGAGGTAATGAGTACAACGATGGAACTATCGATAGAAGTCCTGGATCTAAAACTGTTTGTGTTTTTATCCTCTGTCGTCACAATATTATATGTACAAAGAGTAGAGCGAAGGACCAGAAAGAGAGAGACCAGAGAGAGACCAGAGAGAGAACAGCGAGAGACTAGAGAGAGATCAAAACGGTGGAGACCAGAGAAAGCCTAGAGAGACCAAAGAGGAAGACCAGCGAGAGAAACAAGAGAGAGAGCAGAGAGAGAGGAGAGAGGGACCAGAGAAAGAGACCAGAGATGGAGACTATAAAGAGACTAGAGAGAGAGACCAGAGAAAGAGAGACCAGTGAGAGACTAGAGAAAGAGAGACCAGTGAGAGACTAGAGAGAGAGACCAGAGAGGGGAGACCAGAGAAAGAGAGACCAGAGAGAGAGAGAGAGACCAGAGAGAGAGACCAGAAAGAGACCAGAGCTGGACATACAAGTGGAGGTTTTATCTTCAGTCTGTTTAATGCTCCGTGATTATCTATGTGTGATGATAATGATTCTTTTCTTGTTTTGTTCCGCACTTTGAATTCCCTCGTGTATGAACTGTGCTATACACATAAACTTTCCAGAATGAGGACAATGCCGTTTATCCAGTACATTTTTATCAACTACATTTATTGGAACCCAGGGACCAGCTGGAGACAGACCAGAAAGAGGTTTATGGATCAGAGAAGGATCTAAAGTGGCTCTGCAGTAAACATGAGAGAGTGTCATGTCTCATAGAAGTGGGTGAGGCCTCAGTGTTATTGACAGCCGCGCGGGGAGGAGGGGGGTAACTGCATTAGCTGAAGGGAGCTGTCATAGCCGCTCCGTCAGGGGGAACACAGAACATATATGAACTGAATGGAACGTAATGAGAGGGACGGGAGAGACAGTTAGCAATGTGTGTGAGGGTTTGATCAGAGAGAGAGAGCAGAGAGAGAGATTAGAAAGAGAGAAGAGAGAGACCAGAGAGATAAAGGAGAGAAGAGAGCAAGCAGAGGGAGAGTAGAGAGAGAGCAGAGAGAGACCAGAGACCAGAGAGAGAAGAGAGACCAGAGAGAGAGATGAAGGGGAGAAGAGAGAGAGCAGAGGGAGAGAAGAGAGAGAGCAGAGAGAGACCAGAGACCAGAGAGAGAAGAGAGACCAGAGAGAGAGATGAAGGGGAGAAGAGAGAGAGCAGAGGGAGAGAAGAGAGAGAGCAGAAAGAGAGAGCAAGGAGAGAGACCATAAAGAGAGCAAGGAGAGAGCAGAGAGAGACCAGAGAGAGACCAGAGAAGGACCAGAGAGAGACCAGAGAAAGACCAGAGAGAGACCAGAGAGAGACCAACCCCAAAGAACTGACAGATGGGACAGAGGCCAAAACATATATTTTATCTTCTGTGGTCTGAAAGTTAGATACCTCAGCTTTAACTTGATGTAAACACTTTTTGTGGAACTGAGGTTCAGTCACAGCGTCAATCCACTCTTCATTACACACCAACGAGGCACACACACACTTACACAACACACAGACACACACACGCACACACTTACACAACACGCACACACTTACACAACACACACACGCACACGCACACACAAACACACGTGGCTCTGGTTTGAACCACTTCCTCAGACTCTTGTTGTATCAGATGTAGGTTTTGGAGGATTCCGGAAACAAGATCAGAAGATAAACTGCAGGAGGTTTTTACAACTAAACTATTACATGTGTACTTTATGTTACGATAGGCACCTGAGTGAGATAGGGAGAGAGAGAGAGAGAGAGAGGGAGAGCAGAGAGAGAGCAGAGAGAGAGAGCAGAGAGAGAGAGCAGAGAGACCAGAGAGAGAGCTGAGATCGAGAGAGACAGAAAGAGAGAGTGGGAGAGGGAGAGAGAGAGAGACCAGAGAGATATTTGAGAACAGAAAGAGAGAAGAGGAGAGACCAGAGAGAGACCAGAGAGAGAGACCAGAGAGAGACCAGAGAGAAAGAGCAGAGAGAGAAAGGGAGAGAGAGAGGGAGAACACAGAGAGAGAGACTGGAGAAGGACCATAAAAAGAGAGCAGAAAGAGACCAGAAGACTCTTCTCTCTCTCTCTCTC